CATCACTTGTCATCCCCTCCCTTTAGGGCAGGAAACAGGAAGGAGATAACTAGCACAACATAATATGACTAATATAATGGAAGAGCTGGGGTTAGAACCATGTTACTGGTCACCACGTGATCTTCCCCAGTTACCTGCTTTGTAAAGTGGGAGATAGGGGAGATGGAGGAGGGTTGGGATAGATGAGGGGTGTTGGCATGGCAAGGAACTATGATGGGGGGAAACATGCATCTTGAGTGTTATTAACCTCTGACTAAAATTTAGTTCTCTTCAATTATTTTACAACTTGATCCTGAGAAGGAAGGGGTCCATAGGCTTCAAGAGCTTGGCAGAGGGGTCTAAGACACAGAAAAAAAAAGTTAGGAACCCTTGGGCTAGAAGATGGACATTTCTAATTTGAAGATTCTATGAAATAGGAAGACTTGAGTCCTTCCACTCTATACCCACTCTACCAATTGACTGTGGAATTGTGAATAAGTCACCTGGCCACTCTGGGTCTCTCCCCCCACTCCCATCTAAAACTCGAGGCTTGGACTTGATGAGCTTAAGGAGGCACCTGCCAGGTCTAAAATTCTGTATTCTAAGGCAGAGGTGCCAAACTGCAGAACAAAGCCCTGAAAACAGAGAAAATATAACAGGGAAATATTTAAGAAAACAAATAAAAATACAACATCAAGATGTTATTTTGTGATTTCCCAGCTTAATCTGCAGCCTGCAGGGATCATTTGTATGAGCTTGACACTAATGTTCTAAGGCCCTTTCCAGGTCTAACATTCTGTATTCTGAGGTTCCTTCTACCTCCAACATTTGGGTTTTCCAGGTCTATTACAGCTCCAATATTCTCTGTTCAAAGTTTCCTTAAAGATTAATATTCTATATTTTAAGGTCTCTCCCAGCTCTATCATTATAATTTTCAAGGGACCTTCTAGTTCCAACCTTCCCTGTTCTAAGTTTCCTTCAAGCTATAATATTCTACAGTCTAAGGTCCCTTCCAGTTCTGACATTCTATGTTCTCATATACCTGTCCCAGGTAACTCTGATACTATAAGAGTATTTTCAGATGTACTGCCAATGTGCATTGGTAAAGGAAAGTTCCACCCCAGGAGTTCCCTACCTTGATAAATTCAAAGCCTGGGGGAGGGGAGGGAAGCACAGCCACCACCACAATCAGTAACCTTTTGCACTCTATTCACTTTCGTGAAAAACCCAGAAAAGCCTTTAGGGTGTGAGAAGAAACAACTTAGTCAAACACATTCTTTGGTGTCTACGTAACCACAAAGTCAAACCACACCCTTGTTTCCTAGGCCCAGGTTGCCAGAAGGTGAGGTAAGGAAGGATTGTGGGAAGGGACCTTGGGAATCACAAATTCACACCAGTGAGGGGCAGCAAAGCCTAGTGACTTCTCTCTCTGGTCATTTGTTCTCATTCCTAAGGCTGGTCAAACAGAGCTTCTCATCTGCATTTTTAGGTGTGGGGACTTTAAAGGAAGGCTGGTGCCCTGTGATGAGCATGAGACCTGGTGTCAGAAGCAATCCCAGCTCTGCTATCAGCGTTCTATGGAGGGGCACACAAATCACTCACCGCCCTCCCCCAGCACCTCAATCTCCTTATCTACCACTGGAAGAGAAGGATGAGTCCCAACTACCCTTTTAAATTAGAGACATGAGCTATTATTGCTTGCCCAAGGAGGCAATTTGAGGACTAGAACCCATGTCTTCAGACTCCTGAGAGTCAGTGAACTTTTCCCTGTATGGCAAGAGCCTAGCAACAGCATGGCCTGGGTGCCAAAGCAAGCACATGATATGAAGTGGCCAGTCCTTCGCCTGGGGCAGAGATTTGTTATCTGAATTCACTGGTCAATTCAGACACTGCCTTAAAGAGGGCCATGTATTTCTCGGTCCTTCAGTTGCTCATGTGGATGATGAGGAAAATGCAGCCAGCTCCAACTGTTGGATGGAATCAGAGGGCCTGGATGGGTCCAAATCTTTGACCCTCAATACCCCTGTGACCCTGGGCAAGTCATGGAAACTTCTTGGTTGACTGGGCAAGTCATGGAAACACCTCGGGTTTCTTCATCTGCAAAATCACCTAGACTAAGGTGCCTCTGGCGTAGGCCAGAGTATGTCTTATCTCCACCATGAATAATAACTCCTATTTAAGCAGCATTTTAAGGATTGCAATTTCATTTGACCTGCCTTGTGGGGCAGGTGTCTTACGACAATCTCCCATTTATAAAGAAGGAAAGTAAAGTCATCTTCCTTCCCTGAGACTCATTTTCCTCATCTGTAAAATGAAGTGACTGCACTCAAGTGACTCTCAGTTCTCTTCCAGCTCTAAATCAAGGACCCTGTGCACTCATGGCCACACAGTAAGTTTTGAACCCAGATTTCATGGCTCCCAACCCAGCCCTACATCTGCCATGCCACATTTCCATGCCTTACCGGAACCTTGCATCTCCGCAAGTGCTTAGCATGGTGGTAGGTACACACACAAGATACGCTTTCGAAAGAGCTCTTGGAGTACATTGGCATCCTTCAATGCCCCATTAATGGCATAATGTGTGTTATATACATTTTATTTTGCAAATATGGATCAAATGAGCATTAATGAGCTCACACATAAAGCACTTCACAAACCTTAAAGCTCTATATAAATGATTCTTGTTGTGGTTGATGATGGTGTTATTGTCAGTAGACGTGAGTATGAATTCTAGCTCTGTTACTTGCTCCTTGGGGAGACTTGGGTCCCAAATGAGAGAGCTAAGCTAAATGATCAATATCCAATGATCCTCTATCTTTATTTTACACACGGGGAAGCTGAGACCAAAAGAGTAAGATAATGACTCATCTGGTATCCTATAGTGAGTTAATGGTAGATAACTCAGGCATCAGAACTCTTAATTCTCAGCCGTAGGCTTTGTTCATTACCCCACATGCTCAAAATTTCTCAATATGTGGCTTTGCAAGAACATGTGCTCCTACCACACAATATCAGGATGAGTCTCAGCCTGGAGTTGAGAGATACCACTTGGTTGAATATCTGGGAGTCTCATAGCAGAAGAGTCAAGATTGATTCCAACAATCAGCTTAACATCTTTCAGCCAGTCTAGAGATCTCAAAGAACAGCTTCAAGGCCAGTTCTGCAGAGAATCTAGTGGTTCTGGGGAGGAAAGGTCTAGCATGTTGACCAGATGGCAATGGGCAGATGATTGACTGCTCTCTGAATGAAAAGCAATCCAAAGAACTCTGCGCATAATTGCATTGGCCATGCTCAGCATAAGCAGAAGTAAAGTTATTGTTCTGTTCTTCCCAGAGGTTGCCATGTATATGGGAACCATGCCCTCTCCTCTGGGAGATTAGAATAGAAAATGCCCCAGGGAGCCAGAGGAAGGATGGTACACTGGACCAGGAGCCCTGGGATCCAATCTTGGTTCCTATTAGTTTGTGTTGTAAAACCACACTAAGTCACTTTGGCCAGTCTAGCCATCTTGGCCATCTGGCCATCCTGTCTAGCATCTGACTTGTTTTTCTTGTCTTCCCATCTAGACCGTAAGCTCCATGAAGGAAGGATGGCTTATCCTTCTTTTAAATCCTTCCAAACATCTAAAACATGGCCAGACAGAAGTTTCACAAATAACATTTTTTTTTGTTTTTATTTTTCTGCATGGTGGAAATTAAGGCATGGAAAGGATGGCACCTTGTCCAAGGATGGTGGCATATCAGCTAGAAATCAAGAAAAAGAACCAGGTCCCTTAAAGGGAAGAGTTATAATGACCCTTAAGTACACTATCAAATTTCTATGAAGAAAACCTGGAGCATCTGGAGAACATATGAATCTGTCTTATGAAGTAGGGAGCACTCCATCACTAGACATGATTAAGCAGAGACTGGCTGACCATCTGTTGGTTATCATAGGCATTCAAACTAGAAGTGATCTTAACATTTAAAAGATGAGGAAACTGAGGCATGGAGTTGCTAAATTTATTCATGGAAGACAGGATATCACACCAGGTGCTTGGATGCCAAAGCAAGTACAATGTATCATCTACATCATGCTGTCTCTCCTCAAGGTATGGAGTGGATTCCTTTACCTAGAGAAAAGTTGAGTTAGATAACCTGGAGCTTCCTAGAAGCCGGAAGTCTAGGAATCTGTACTAGATAGATGCTCTTAAACTTTGTGGTTTCATGGACACTCCTGGCAGTTTAAGGAGTCCTAGGGACCCCTCCTTGGAATCATATTTCTAAATAATTGATGGAAATCCTTTGAAGCTGGTGAGGATGAAGATACCATTTTTCCCCATCCAAGTTCACAGACATTCCTGAAATTTATTCAGAGATTCCCTTCTGCTTAAGAACCCCTATTCTCGATTCTGGCCATTCCAAAATATGCCAGAGAATTTCAAGTAATAGGTCTAGACTGGCCCATGTGTTGGGCAATCTGAGGGTCACTAGAAAGGCCTGACTTACCCTGGGCCATTCCCACAACCCCCTCAGCTACCCCTCTACCAGAAAATTTACACTTCAAGCCCTTTCATTTTTTTTTTCAGTCCCCTATCAATATGCAAATGTCCCAGGGAGAAGAAACATTTGAAGGCGAGCATCAGCTAAGTAGCCAATCAACGACTTTTCTGAAGGGCTCAAAGTGCCTACTATGCACCAGACACTGAGCTAAGGCTCTGTGGCACACACACCAGTACGATTAGCAAGAGGGCACTCACTGGAAATGAAGGTATGAGAATACCAAAGGCTTTACCTTTGATTCTTCTACTGAGAATGTTGGCTTAAGGTGATCTGCTCTAGAGAGTTATTTTATCTTTTTTTAAAATTTTTTTTAGGCAGTTGGGGTTAAGTGACTTGCCCAGGGTCACACAGCTAGTAAGTGTCAAATGTTTGGTCGGAGGCCGAGAGTTATTTTGTAAAGGTGAATTAGGAGGCAAGAAGAAGCAAAGGAAACCTCCCCGCCCCCAACAAAACAGAACACAGAAGCCAAGCATGACTTACTTTCCCAGTTGACTTGATTCCTTTCCAAATGCAGAAGAAACAAATTATCCAGACCAAGAGGAGGCAGAGGGCCAGGTCCCACTTCAGAGCGCCAGCATCACCAATGCCCTTGGACAGGCTCAACACTTTTCGCCTTTAAGGTGTGAGAGAGAAACAGACAGAGCCAGAGAGAAACGTCAGTCCATGCTCATGCCCAGCTGGGAACACGGCGAGATCTCTGGGACTATCTGTGAGATGCCTAGAGTGAGTGCCTGCCAAGCCTCCAAGCCCAGCTAGGTTCTCTTCCATATACCTTTGAGTTTGCTCCTCTGTGTAGGTGAAAGATGGAGTGATACGAACTCAGTGACAGTCCTGATCCAGAGGACCAAACCCAAAAGTATAGTGGTCTCCAGTGGGGTGGCCCAGGGATCTGTACTTGGCCCTCGGTGGGTTAACATTTTTAGGGGTGTCTTGGGTAAAGGGGCCATTAACATGCTTTTCAAATTACAGGCACACCTTGAAGATATTGTGGCTTTGGTTCCAGACCACCAGAATAAAGTGAATATCGTACTAAAGCAAGTCATGCGAATTTTTTGATTTCCCGGTACATATAAAAGTTATGTTTGCACTAGACTGTAGTCTAAGTGTGCAATAGTATTATGTCTAAAGGAAACGTACATACCTGAATTTTAAAAATGATTTGTTGCTAAAACAAATGCACTTTTAATTTCCTTCAAGAACTTTTCCTTTGCATACACATCTTGGCTATTTGTTGCAAGAGCCTTCGCTTTTGGCCTATCCCAGCTTTTGCCATGCCTTCCTCACTCATCTTAATCATTTCTACCTTTTGATTTAAAGTGAGAGATAGCTGTCCCATGCTTCCTTTCACCAGAACACTCAGAAGCCATTGTAGGGTTATTAACTGGCCTAATTTTAATATTGTTGTATCTCAGGGAATAAAGAGGCCTGAGGAGAGGGAGAGAGATGGGGAACAGCCGGTCAATAGAGGATTAAGAACACACAATATTTAACAGCTAAGTTCACTGTCTCATGTGGACACGATTCATAGTTCCCCAAAAGAGTTTACAATAGTAACATCAAAGATCACTGATCCCAGATCACCATAACAGATAAAATAATAATGAAAAAGTTGAAATATTGCAAGAATTACAAAAATGTGACACAGAGATACAGTGTGAGCAAATGCTGCTGGAAAAAATAGTGCTGAGAGACTTCCTGGAGGCAGCGTTGCCAACAAACCTTCAATCTGTAAAAAATTCAATATCTGGGAAGCACAATAAAATGAAGTGTAATAAAATGAGGTATGCCTGCATGCAGATAGCTAATAGACGAAATGACAGGATATAAAATATATGAGAGGCTGTGCTGTTGGGGAAACTGAGATGGGTGTCTACCCCTTGAGTTCCAGAGTTCAGAGCTATAGTATGACTAAAGCTTATCTGGTATCTAATCTAAAAGCCTGGCATCACTACGGTGAACCTCACCCCCCAGATCCCCAGGAGAGAGTCACCAGACTACTCTGCCTAAGGAGGGGACAGTGAGGTGGCTCAATAGAAAAAGTGCCGAGCCTAGAGTCAGGAAGACTCATCTTCCTGAGTTCAAATCTGACCTCAGGCACTTACCAACTGTGTGACCCCGGGCAAGTCACTTTTAACCCTGTTTGCTTCAGTTTCCTCATCTGTAAAATGAGCTGCAGAAGGAAATGGCAAACCACTCCAGTATCTTTTCCAAGGAAACCCCAAATGGGGTCACACAGAGTTGGACACAAAATTACTGAACAATAAAAAAAAAAAAGGAGGAGTGAACCCAGGCCAGAGGAAAAGAAGAAGCAGGTTTAAGCTTCTACGCTCATCGATATTAGGAGCAGTGGCTGCTGTACTTTCAGCCTAGGAGAGATAGGACGTGTTGGGTCAATTCTAATGAGATGAAATATAAAAAGAATAAATGGCTACACTTTTGAGTTTTAAAAGATATACTACACATGAAGGAGGTATGGCTGGACAGCGGTTTGTCTGAAAAAGGGCAGGGGGGTTTAGTGGAACACAAATTCAATGAGTAAACAGTGCTATAACAATCCCAAAATCCCAATTCAATATTAGGGGGCATTAAGAGAAGTTTAGGAAAGAGACAATTCTATTGTTTGTTACCCTTGTCAGACTGTATGCAAGGTACCACTTTCAGTTCTAGATCCCATATTTAAAAACAGACAGACCAAATATGGAGTGCTGTTTTCAGTTCTGGATCTCATATTTTAGGAAAGATGTTGATAAACAAATTAGAATGTCCAGGAGGTTGAAGAAGGTAGCATCGGGCTTGACCTCAAGGTCAAATGATTCCAGATTGCATGAAGGACTCAGCCTGGAGAAGACTCGGGGGTGGGGGTGGGGGTGGGGGTGGGGGTGGAGAGGGTAGATGTAACAGCCCTCTTCAAGTATCTGAAGGTCTGTCTTGGAAAGAGTAATGAGATTTGTTCTGCTTGGCACTAGAAGGCAGAATTAGGAGTAATGGTTGAAAGCTAAAAAGGAGGCACATTTTAGGCTGGATGTCAGGAAAAAACTTACTAATGATTGGAGCTGTCCAAAGTGGAATGGACTGCTTTGAGAGCAAGTAGCTTCCCCTCACACTATATAGTCTTCAAGCAAAGGTGACAGATGAACACCTGTCAGGGATGTTGGAGAATTTCTCAGGCAAGAACAGGCAGGGCTAGATGGTCTCGGAGATCCCTTCCACTTCGGAGATTCTGTGACTTCCGTCACCAGACACCTAGTCTAGTGCTCTTCACACTTAAACAAATTCAGGATGGCATTTTAGAAGTAAGCATGCTGAAGAGAGGCAGGCACTTTCCAGATAGAGCTAATATTGATCATTGCCAAATGGTGATGGCTCAGCTCATCACTTGAGTAAGGAACTGGCCAGATCCCATTTGGTCGGTGAAGTCTCCAAGTTTCCTGTCTTCCTCTCCCTGCCTAATTACCAAGACCCCGAGGGAATCAAGCACTGCCATCATTGTTGCCAACATTGTTCTATTACCACGAGGATGGGAAGCCCCAATCCTTGGAGTTGGAAGGGACCCAAACAATACCATGGTTGGCTAGCCTTTCTCTTGTTTTGTTTCACTCAGATCCTCAGGGATAACCATGAAAATGCAGGATAGTCAAAGGATCATTCATGTAGCCATGTAAAGGCTTGGGAAAAAAAGAAATTTACATGATAACTATATTACATATTTAGAAGGAATAGCAAGTTGTACATAATAGATTTGAAATTTCATGTGCAATCATCTTTTTTTAAAATTATACTATGTTGTGGAAATGCTTGTTTTATTCCATGAATTAAAAATAAAATAACTTTTAAAAATAAGCAGTCTATCCCTCACCCTCCTTATTTTTTGAATGTTCTCCCTTTCATCTTGACCTCCTAGAAGCTCTAGGTCCATTTGGGGCATAGCTCAAGTACCCCCCCCCCACACACACACACAGTCTTTCCTAATCCCTGTACCGCAGGGGTTAATATTTTGCATCCCAACATTTTACATTTGTTTTTCTAAGTACATATTGTCCTACCTCAAGTAGAAAAGTAAATTCCTTACAGTCCGGAGCTATTTTCACTTTTGACTTTGTATCCTCAGCACCTAAAACAGTGCCCGGTACTTAATAAGTGCTCTTTGAATTAGACTGAATTGAAGATGTCAGGATGTTGGCGCTGGAAGAGGCTTTGGAGATCACTTGTTCTGACGCCCTCTTTTTACACTGGAAAAGTTCAAAGAAGGGAAGGAAGTAGTTTGTCCAGGACCACACAGGTAAATAAATAGTGGAGCTAGGATCTGGATCCAGGTCTGCTAACCCCAAATCCAGTCCACCTCCCACTAGATCATACTGCCCTTTCCTGGCATGCAGCCTTACAATGACGGCACCTCCAAGACTAGCTTTTCCAAATTCTCACAGGTACACACAGGTGTATACACCTAAAAAGCAGTACAGGTCAATGTACTCTGAGGTTGTTGGCAAGTTAGCCAACTAAGCCTTGGTCTTCTCCTCTGTGAAATGGGAATATTAATTAAGTAATTCTTTTCTCAGGGGGGTATTCGAAAGATAAACCAAGATAAGAGACCCGATAGAGCTTTGTAAAGTTAGAAAGTGGATGAAAGGTAGTCTCATTTAATAAAAGTATCTTTCCCTAGGTCAGACTCTGATACTGGTAAGCAGTATTTAAGAAATGAAAAGGACAGTATCTGCCTCCAGTAACCCGTGTGTTGACCTTGAGGCCCAAATTAAAGGTTTGAGAACTGGAAGGGGCCATAGAGATTGTCTAAAATTCTAGTCCAGTGTCTTTATTTAAATGAAGAGGAAACCATGGTTTTGAATAGTTGGCTTAGCCAAAGGTCACATGGGGAGGACGTAACAGAGCTTGGGTTCTACATCAAGTAACTACCTCCACGTTCAGTGCTCTTCCTAGAGGACAGGGAGAAATCTCCTTTGGCTAACCTTCCAACTGAGGAAAGCTGACCATGACAGTGAACAAAATAAAAAACTCTAAGGTCCCTGCTTTTCTAACCAGAGAGCCCTCACAGTGCCTTTTTTTTTTCAAATTGGGTGACCAGAACAGCTGCTATGTACCTCAACTCTTCAAATATCACATGTCACACGGGGCACAGAAATGCTATTGATTCTGGGGGTGGGGCAGCAGGCATTTCACAGAAACCTATAGAAGAGGGCAGCCCAGATGGTATGAGAGAATACATTGACCCATGCCAGTCTGGGCTACCTTGACTCCTGAAGAATGGAACATGTAGCAAGTTCTGAGTTGTGAATATAGGCTGGTGACATTTGACTTTTTAAACATCTGCACACAATATGGTGCCTAGTTCACCATTTTTGAATGAATAGACTTGTGCATGCAGCTTTTCCTGGAAATAAACAATCTGCATTGGCAATGGTCACAGAACATTAGTACTAGAAGGGACTTAAGAGATGGTACCCTCTCACTATAAAGGAGGCCAGCAGGGCCCAGAGGAAGAAAGGGACTTAGCCACAGTCACACAGTGCCAAAGCTGAGACTAGAATCAGGCTTTCCAGGGTGAAAGCTGCTTTTCTCCCAAGTGAAAGAGTATAAAATAAGACCTACTTATTCCTC